AAAAAAAAAAAAAAAAAAAGAAAAGAATACTTGATCACGACGAAAAGTAAACGCGAATGAAATATCGAGGAGCCGAGTTGACATTAAAAACAAAAAAACCATTTCGATTAAAATTGTTCTCGACTAATTTAATTTCAATCCAATCTTCTTTGACAACGAGAATTTACGTAAACGCTGGGCTCGAAAATTTGCTGAATACTTTTTCCGTGTCTGCACAGATTTTACAAATTTTACGAGTTTCTAACAGATTCAATCTTACAGTCCATTTTCATTTTCAATTTTCGCACGTTATTACAGCGACGTGACAGGCTACCGTTTCATCTCAGTATTACGAGCACACGTATTTTACGTAAAAAAATACACGTTTCGTTCGTCTCGCGCTCATTTCGGGCAAAGTTCGGGATAAACAAACAGCGCCGGCGATAAAAATGAAATAATTAGCTGACGTTTATCAAAATAAAAAAATTCGCTACGAAAGAATAAATAATGAAATTTCGAATGATTAATCCTTTGTGTGTATGTGTGTTATTGACACGCGTGTTTCGAATAAAAATACGAATGTTATTGAATTGAACATAGCGGACAGTTAAAAAGAATAACTCCCACGCACGCGTCATGGTTAACTGACATGGTTTTGTATATGCAGCACGTTTTTGAAGCGAATGGGACGGGTGGATACCTCGATATTCTAAATAATTAACCCGTTTTATGATACGAGGGCGTGCGCGTATCGATTCGATGAATTTCATCACCATAGAGAGGTAGCTTTTCAGCCACGTACTATACAGGGTGTACGAAATATAAATGTCGAAACTTCGGAAGCATGTGGGCGACTGATAAAACTGAGAAGACAAATCCGTTTGGGGACTTGCTTGCTTTTTGGAGAAAATCGCGAGAAAAAGAAGCGGAAAAGTTTTTCTTTTTTTTTTTTTTCATTCATTTACTTACAATTACTGATATTGTTATCATGTTACATTATACAGGGTGTATCGTAACTTGTGCGACCGACTTCGGGAGCTGATTGTACGCCTAAATAATAATGAAAAAAAGTCATATAAATATATGTTCTATCTGTCTTCGTTTATGAGATACAATGAATTTTATCAACAGAGCAAACTCTAGTAAGCTAGTTTTACCAGGGATGGTATATTCAATTTTCATAATAATCATAAGTGGGATGAAGAAAACCCCCACACGTTATTGCGCATTCAAGACATCAATGCCAGTTTAGTTTAAACGTATGGGCAGGAATGATTGATAAATTTTTAATTGGACCATTTTTTTCTTGATGGGAAACTAACAGGCACAAAGTACGTNGCAACATCGATTGAACATGCTGAAATACTACGAAATAGAATAGAGCAAGGCTTGCGACAAATTCGAGAAACACCAGGAATGACAGAGAGAGTAACCAGATGAATGACAAGACGCGTGCAGATTTGTCTTCAAATGCAAGCTGGTCATTTCGAGCATCTTTTGTAAAAGTAATTAAAACAGAGAATTCATTATATCTCATAAACAAAGACAGATAGGTTATATATATTTATATGAAATTTTTTTCATTATTTTTAGGCGTACAATCAGCTCCCACAAGTTACGAAACACCCTGTAATATCATCTATTTAACGAAGATTCTGTTCAAAATACTAGCCTTTCGCATCACGAACGTTGACTACTCTGATTGTTCTAATATTTAATATACCAAATTATGGTTTGATCGACATCGAACTTACCGAATCAGTAATGAAAATTATAAAAGTTCTGTTTGTGTTTTTCTCGCGACTTTTTCCAAAATGGAGCAAATCTTCCTTCCCCTCGGTTTATCGATTTTCTGCACGCTCTCGAAGTTTGAAAATCGGGACACCCTGTATATACGGACACGTTCTCGTAGGAAGAGCAAGCTTTATTCGTTTCATCCGATTTTGTTTATCGCGAAATTAATTTAAATGCGCGCGTAATAATTAACTGGCCGGCAATAATGACGACCGCGTGATGACGATAGCGTCACATCGCGCATAGAGCGCGTTTTTGGGTTAGAACAATTTGGCAAACGATATCGAATTAATATTCAAGCGCCGAAACTATCCATTATTCTCATCTATTAAATTTATTTATCCACTTTATTTCGATTGATCTCGCAAAACGTTCAACGCCGTCCAGCGAAACTTTATCAGGAATTAAGAGCGAGATTCGATCCCGAGGATTCAGTGGCATTTAATCTCGAATTAAACTAATACTAATTCACCGGGAAACGGGATTAAGGGTATCGCGGTTCAATTTCTACATAGAGCTAAACAGAGATTCTTCCACGTGGAAGAAGATTCAATCTCGATACGAATAATAACCTCGCACGTACAACACTGCACTATACTACGCTACAGTACGCTACGCCTCAATGCAATGTAACTGAAACAGAAACGAATCAATGATTACCCAGTAGCGAGACGAAAAGTGTATCACCTTGAATCTCATTTCGCAAAAGCCGCGAGATCCCTTCGCAAACTGCAATCTCTCACGTAACGGCGAGGTCACGCGCGAAATTTTGCACGTATGTGTGTGCATACGTGCACGACGAGTTTCTCGATGACGATCGAAGAGAAGATGTTGGGTGGCGCGATCGGGCGCTCGATTTATCGATCGAGAGCGCGCGGTGGGCTTCTTCGCGGGATATTTCGTTTCGGTCGTTAACGGCACCACACGTATGTATGTATGTATGTATGTACGTACGTACGCGAGGCACGTAGAAAAGTGTAACGTGCCAGGCGTTGGTGGCCGCGTGTTAAGGAACCAAGCCAATGCTAATTGGGGTACGTATGCGCGTCACGGTGGCTGTCGGATCGTCACGTTATCGATCGGACCGATTGCACGCAGGCCAGGCGATGGAGATTAAACGTTTCGTGGTACGGGAACTGCTGCCGGACACGAAATATTACATGACGTACGACGGCTCCATCACGATGCCGGCCTGCCACGAGACCACCACGTGGATCATCCTGAACAAGCCGATATACATCACAAAGCAGCAGGTGAGGAAGAACTGTTCATCGCAATACTCATTACATAGATATTATACAAATATATGTCGTGTATTTAAATAGAAATAATTTATGCACAAATATACGTTACATTTGAATATAAATAATTTATACACAAATATATCTTATATTTAAATATAAATATATCTTATATTTAATATAAATAACTTATATATAAATAAATGTTATATTTAAATGTAAATAATTTTATGTATAAATATACGTTATATTTAATATAAATAATTTATATATAAATATAAATTTAATTTAATAATATATATTTATAAATAAATATTTAATTTATAATAATATATATTTATATATAAATATTTAATTTACAATAATGTATATTTATAAATAAATATTTAATTTAAATAATATACATTTACATATAAATATTTAATTTACAATAATATATATTTATATATAAATATTTAATTTATAATATATATTTACATATAAATATAAATTTAATTTATAATAATATATATTTATATATAAATGTAAATTTAATTTACAATAATATATATTTACATATAAATGTAAATTTAATTTACAATAATATATATTTACATATAAATGTAAATTTAATTTAATAATATATATTTACATACAAATGTGAATTTAATTTACAATAATATATATTTATATATAAATGTAAATTTAATTTAACAATAATATATATTTATATATAAATATTTAATTTGTACACTAAAATATATATTATCATTATATACCAGTTAATACAAGTTAATATGAGTTCTAGAGTTAATAAAATGGTTCACGGGGGAATTTTCGACGTCGGTGACGTCGATTTGGATGTACATATATATTAATATCGAACGGCAGCTAGCGAGTATCGATCGCTCAGCGTGCTCTCCATTCCGAGAAATTACATTGATCCAACGTGGTAGTTTCCATACATAGCTATGTAGCTTCTGCTGATCTTTGTTCCCCGTATGAGTACGACTAAGGAGTAGTTGGCAAGTGTTCGACCGGCTTTAAGTTAGCCGGAGGAGATTTAGGTTCTGTAGCTTGATTGTCCAAACACTCGGTGGAATAGGTTCTCGGTGGATCTTGCGATAATATCTGAGTGGTTGAAACACTCGATCGGTTGTCGTTGAAATAATAAAGCGTATATTAAATCGGTTGAAACTCTAGAAGCTACCATGAAAAATTCACTTGATCGTTTACCATTGCAACTTGTGCCTGAATTGGCTGCCATCGATCGAAGTTCCTCGCGAAAAATATATCGTAACATTTGCTCTTATAATTGGCATTGCATAGACTGAAGTCGTTCTTTCACAACGATAATCGTTAACAATTCACTGGTACATTTGCTATTGCAATTTGCGTTTCAATCAATAGACTGCCAGTCTAATTTACTATTACAATATGCAACTATCGATCAGCTTAACGTAACAAGGAAATTTCTATTTTGTGATAATAAATTCACTCGGACGTTCATTACGTCTGCAATTAAAATTTCAATTATCAATTACCAATTAGTCGATCCAATGATAATTACGAAAAATGAATTCGACACACTTATTAACGCAGTTTGTAGCGAAGAGCCTAACTGTATTAGTGGTAATGAAAAAATTATAACTTAAGCTTTGTAAAGAAAGATCCATTTTGAAGATGACTTCGTAAAGTACTTTTGTCTTGAAAATTGTGGAAATTCGAACAAAATTTTTTTCGTAACTGAATCAATTATAATTTTGAAGATTAAAGTCCCCTCTTTACAACCATCTGTTAAAAGTTGTACGATTTTTTTTTTAACAATTTTATTGAATTTTGAATGGTCAGAGTTAAACGAGAAAACTTCAAGAAATCCTATCGTCGTTCCAAGTTCAATAAAATGACAAAGAAGATCGTACAGCGATTTTCGAGTGATCGTTGTAAAGAGAGAATTTCAATCTTGCAAACCAAATTCGAATTTCGTTATATAAAAAAGTTCTCAACTTTTTAACTTCTTAATTAAAAAACAATTTTCTTTTTTTTTTGTAGCATTCTCTCACCGACGAACATGATAAGCAAAATTTTCTACAAAGTTACATTAGTTTAACAATAGAACTACCAAAGTAGTAAAAATGACCAATTTATAATTTCTGTTAAATATTTTACAGACGTAATAACACTGTATTTTTAAAAACTTAAATAATTTTTCGTAAAATATATAAATGAAAGCTCATATACAATTGAATTATTACAAAGTTTCTCTATTTTTTTTTTTTTTTCTTTGACTGTGATGTCTCTGAAATGGAAATTCTACGTTTTAATCATCGGTAGTTCTAGTGTTAAATGATCGACAATTGTTTTTATTACCACTGGCCGAATGAACGAACGAAGCATCTCTTGAACAATTTCAAGGTGAAGCGATATTCCACACGAACCATTTTGATTTTTTCGCGGAGCGTGGAGAAATGGCTCCGTCGGTTCGCTAGATGCTCGCACTTATCGCCATTTTTTGCAATTTCGCAACAATTGAAAGGGGCTCGGTCGATCTAGAACTTGATCTCGTTCGTACCGGGGGCCGTGCACTGACGAATCGCTTGAAGAATCGCGGCAACTCACGCACGAAAGCAGTTTCTGATGTTCTTTTAATGATTTTCGCGTGGCCAATGGCGGCCACGTAATCTCGCCAGCCACGTAGCATGCACACAGGTCCAAGGAAATTCGTTTACGTGGGTTTCTTATCGCGCTTTGACGTCTTAATGCATTTTTTCCCTCTCCCTGCGTCTGCGTTCCTTTCTCTTTTTCATTCTTCGCTCGAGACACGAAACTCGAGCGACGCGGCAAATTATCTTGACGAACAATGGAGGAAAGATCGAGTTTATCCGCGGCTATCGATCAACGATTATATATAGCGCGGCTCGGTCGCCTCCGGCGAATCTTCTCCCCTTAATTCGAGCATGCTCGACGAAATAAAATCTCGCCGATGGAAATGCGAACCGATCGTTGTTCTCAAACAACTACAACCGTTAGCGAATTAAATGGAACTCGGTATTCTTTCATTCTGACATTTGCGTAAACTTGGCAAAGATCATTTTTCATCGTTATTTCATAGTGCGGAATGTCAATTTGCCAATTAAATAGAAAATAATAAAAGGACATTATGTTACGTTGTTAATCCAATTTGCCAATTTTCTTGTGAATTTCGAAGTTTGTTTCAAAGTGGAGAATTAAAATTCGACGAACGGAACGAGAGAATCTGATTCTCAATTTATATTCTGTTCAACAGTTAAGACGTTGATCGTCGTTGAGCATAAATCGAGTAGGTTCTATTGCGGTCTTTTGCTACGTATCCTTAGACGTCCTTGTGTTTTTTATTCTTTTTGTTAAGTTTATGACACGCACATACGCGCTTCAGCTTTGTCAAATTGAAAGTTTTTGCATCTCTCGAATGTAGACTAGAAATCTAGAGAAATTGAGACAATGAGGCTCCCATAATGTTTATTATTATAGTGTTGTGTATTTTTATGTAAACAATGCAATTACGACTATTTCAAGATAATTCAAAAATTGACCAAACAATGTAATTATTTAGACTACTATTTCAAGATAATTCAAAAATTGACTATGTTATTATTATAATATCGTTATTCGATATCTAATTTAATACGTTCAATTTGAAAATGACTCACTATTGATCTCACTGTAGAAACTCGTTTTACTATCATTAAATATCATTTAACTAGATAAATAATTATTTAAATTTAATTGGCTAAATATTTCCACCATTTATTTATTCGATAGTTCTCGCCTTAAGATTTTAAAAGCAAGATCGTCGTCCAATGGAAACTCGACTGAAATGAATTAAACCACGCGCAGCCGACACCGGGTCACCGTTGACCCAGAACTTGAACGTAACGAAGAAGCAAAATATTTCAAAGACAGATATTTCTGGAAATTTCGACTGAATTTTGATCATATGAAACTAATATAAACGTTATTAGGTAACATCCTTTACCAAAATGTTAGGTGCGAAGCGAGTATTGCAAAAATTCAGCCATGGGTCAAAAGTGACCTGGTGTCGACTATCCGAGGGTTAAAAAGGGCGAATAGCGGTTGGTCGCTATCATCCTTTCGCTACAAATTAGGGGTGTTTTAGTGACTATATAGGGTGTTTCGTAACTTGTGGGATCCACTTCGGGAGCTGATTGTACGCCAAAAAAATAAACCCACACGTTATTATGCATTCAAGACATCGACACAAGTTTAGTTTAAACGTATGGGCAGGAATGATTGATAAATTTTTAATTGGACCTTTTTTTCTTGATGGCAAATTAACAGGCACAAAGTACGTTGATTTTTCGAGCACGCGTTTACACGAAATGTTAGAGGAAGTTCCAGTCGATATTAGACTTCGTATGCGGTTTATGCATGATGGAGCTCCGCCGCGTTTTAGCCGAGTGGCCAGGCAATTTTTAAATCNAGAATAGAGCAAGGCTTGCGACAAATTCGAGAAACACCAGGAATGATAGAGAGAGTAACCAGATGAATGACAAGACGCGTGCAGGCTTGTCTTCAAATGCAAGATGGTCATTTCGAGCATCTTTTGTAAAAGTAATTAAAACAGAGAATTCATTATATCTCATAAACGAAGACAGATGGGACATATATTTATACGACTTTTTTTCCATTATTTTTAGACGTACAATCAGCTCGCGAAGTGGGCGTCCCATAAGTTACGAAACACCCTGTACAAACAATTTCCAACCGCGTAAGACAGAAATTCGCCGACAGAATAATCATCGAAAAAATGGCGCCACGTTTGCCATTTTCACGTCAGCGACGCGACACGGTCGACCTCGATAATTTTTCAAAAACCGGCCGACGACTCGTCGCTTTCCATTCGCCGGATAATGGATCTATCTGTCTGCGGATCAATCAGTCAAATGGATCGTTTATCGCGATGTTTTCCCCGCTACTCACTCGCTGAGAAAAAGAAAAAAAATATAGAAAGTCGCGAAAAGCAGACGCGTGCTTTGATATTGAATCGGGAGTCGATGCGTCGCGCATTATCGTTCGTAGAAATTCGTTCGGTATCGATACGGATTGCCCCTTTGAAAGGGGAGGAAGAAAGACACCGAGAAGAAGGAGAACGGGGAGGGAAGTGGGAAGGAAGAAAACAAACGCGTGCAAACAGCGTCTCGGAGGCGAATAATGGGCGAAGATCTATTGATCTTCCTGGCGGAAACGTCGCTTTGCCGGTCGAGCGATTTCGAATTGCTCTCTTCGGACCCGGCAAACTCGGGAGTTAATCTCGATACGCCAGGTGATATGATATTTTAAATTCTGCTGCTACGGATAGAAACGCCCGATATGTTCGATAATTTAAAATGGCGCTTTGTTGCCGGGCAATGTGGAAGAATCGAACGTGAAATTCGTTTTTTTTTTTTTTTTTTTTTAAATGGAGGAACAAGGAGTATAACTTGTGTTTCGATTAAACCGTGTATTGTGCATGTATTTGCTGGATCAGGCGATAAGAGGAAATACAGATTTTTCGAAAAACACTAGCAGTATTATTTTTACAGGTTAATTGTCTCGCTTTTTTTTTTTTTTTTTTTTTTTTTTTTTTTTTTTTTACGAGACGGCTACGTTTGACTGTTCGAAGCAAAGAAGAGGATAATTGTACGGTGGCTAGTTTCATTCGTTTTGGTTTTCTTCGCTTAAACGTCTGTCTGACTTTGGTGATTAATCCTATTTGATTTTCCTTTTCTGATTTCAGTTTCAACCGCGGCCAATGTCGAGCTCGGGTTACGAAAATATCCCGAAAATATTTATCCAATTGTACGAAAATTCGGAGCACCCGCGACTGTGATTTTCGCGATATCCAGTTACTTTCATCGCGAAATGTTGTGTTTCGAGCTGCTCGCCCGGTATTTTGGTATTACAACGGCAAAATAGGGGATGTTGTGATAATACGCGCTGATAAACTTTCGATGGACGTTGGTTACAAAGGTTATCGCCAGAGTCCGAATCTCTGCTTTTATATATAATTGAACGTCGTTCGTTTCTCAAATAATATCGAGTGTCTGTAACATGATAAAGTTCTACTAGCAAGTGTCATAATATTTTTAAAATAAGTATAAATTCAAGTATAAATTCCAAGTATTTATTACCAACGACAACTTCTCGCAAACGAACGGCAACAATCGCAGATTTAAACGTCGTTCTAAATTTTTAAACGCCACTCCAATGTTTATCTTGCACCCTGCCAGCTCACATCCTATCTTTTAAAACGAGAATACAGGCGAAATGTAATTAACGCTCGCAACTTCACGGAGCCGTACCGAGAAACAGCAAAAAACTAAAGAATTCGCATTCCTCGATACGATAACGCAATTTACGTTTCTCAAGCTCCGAAGATGGTCTTGGAAATTGCAAACAAAACGTTTGCAAGCGTTTGCACAGTCGTGAATAATTAACGATTAATATCACCTCGCTGTAACAACAAATTCAACAAGCCTCTAAAATTCGGTGGGCAAAAGAAGAAAAAGAAAAAGAAAGAAAGAAGAAGAAGAAGAAAAGACTAACACGAAAACGAGCTAAAAGACCATGAAAAAGATACGATCAATATTCGATCGTGTGCATTCGCTTAACCGTAAAAAATTCAAAACTAAAAAAAGAAAAAAAAATGGGCGAGCGGGGGGGAGGGGGGAGGAGGAGAAAAAAAGCGAGAGACCATCCTCTCGTAAAGTTCGATGATCGAAAACTCGATGTCGAAAGTTTCGCGGCGAAACTAATTTATTCACGGCGAGATACACAGAGGGCCGTGGGAGGATCGGGATCGGCGGCGCGTTGATCGATGATTTAACAGGCACTTTTCGCCGGATGATTTACGTATACACAGGACGGCGGCGGCGATGCATTTTAATAAATTTATCGGGGACAGCGTCGGTGGCGTGCGAGGAATTATACTTGCTAAAACGGCGGCGTCGAGATTCCGCGGCTAGTATTTTTCGGGGCGAGTTAGCCGGAGGGGACGACATCGAACGGATGCAAAACAACCGGGTGCACACGAACGGACGTGGTACATGCACGTGAGCCACGTTCACGCAGCGTATTGCTCGTTACCCCGAAAAAAAGATCCGACCCAAGCGAGGGGAAAGGGGGATGAAGAGGGGAAAAACCACCGGTGCAACGCCGTGTATCGAATATTTTAAAAAGCTTATCCCCGGCCACCGTGGACCTCCATTAGAGCGAAAAGAGCGTCCCGTGATGTCGACGCGCCGATTATTAGCCCGCCACCCTTTTCAACCCTGATTTTTCTAACGAGGGCACATCGCCCGGAATATTTTCATCCCTCCGTCCGTCATTTTTAACCAGTGTCTCCTTCTTCTTCGTCTTCTTTTCTTTTTTTCTTTTTTTTTTTCTTCTTCTTTTCTCCTCTTCGAGTTAATGGAGCCGAAGAGGCCAATCTGTCCTGGGAGATAATAAAAATTTCGAGCTCCATGGAATTTCGAGGAATCCAGCGCAGCAAGTTTACGAGATCCTTTTCTTTTAAATTTTTTAACTACGTCCAACGTATTTCTCTCCGTTTAATCTCCCTTTATTCGAGAGTATATTCAGGGTATCTTTTGCCACTGCAGTTTGTTTTGTTATGCTTGATCCTCGAGTCGTAGACAACCGTGACGAGATCGGGTTGAATCAGTTAATCCCAAGCGCCGCGATCTTTCGCTACGTCTTTCGTACCGTCGCGAAATTCTGATAATCAACTTGACGATACGAGTTCTGGAGGTCTGATCTATTACGTTTTTTCTTTTTTTTTTTTTTTATCTCGAGACACTTTCCTTTTAATTTCCTCAGACTTTTCGAGCTCCCTTACTCCCGTAATCTTCTTCAACCCTTATCATTGTAAAGTTTTGACGTTAGATCATCACTGCTTTCATTTCATTGCCATTTCCACTGATTAGTAGACATCTTAAAAACTTAATTTTTTCACCTGTCTCTCGTCAGTAGACGAGCACGTTCTAGAGGAAAAGTGCGACTGCCAGAATTAACCGGCCGTGAATTTTTACCAACCTTCTCGTTAATCAACGAAATTGCAATTTCCTCGCCTGACTACATGGCCGAACGCCAGAGAGAGAGAGAGAGAGAGAGAGAGAGAGAGAGAGAGAGCGAGTTTAAACAGGAGTTTGAAGCGTGGCGAGGACCGGCAGGTGCTGTTAGCAGGAGGATATTTCCGTCGAAAGTCAAAGAGTTGATGCGTATATAACGCGGAAGACGTGGCACAGAGGCATCGAGGGCCTTAACTTCCAAGCTGTTAAGCTGTTAAGGGAGGGTGGGATCGTCTCGTAGCAGCCAGAATGTAAAAGCGACGGGGACAAGTACCACGGATCGTCGGTGTAATCGTCGTTCTCAAAATTGCGCAATCGATAAATCAATATCTATAATGGGCGTTCTGTTGCACATGGGCTGTTAGCTCGCCGGAAATTGTTTCGGCCATTAAGTCGTTACCGAACGGCGAAAAATGATAAAGAGCAGAGAGTGAGTGTCGTAATGTGCTTTATCGCCGGTTTTTATCCGCCGGTAATTCGTATGAAATTCGCATCGAATTGGCCAGTTACTCTGCTCTCCCCGATCGAGATCGAGATCCGATGTAGATCTATTAGATAAAATCAAACTCGTCAACCTGAAGGGGCGTCGCCTAAATTTTTATCCGCGCTCCACAGAGACTCGTTCTTCAGAATAATTTATTAAATTATTATTATTATTATATAATTAGAATAATAAAAATATTATATTATAATATAATATTAATGATAATATAAAAATATTATATTATAGTATATTATAATATAAAATAATAATAATAATATAAAAATATTATATCATAATATAATAATAACAACAACAAAAATATTATATTTATTAAATTATTATTATTATATAATTAGAATATAATTAGAATTATTCTAATTGTATAATAATAATAATTTAAGAATAACTTATTAATTTATTATTAAATTGTATAATTTGTTATTATACAATGTTTACATGATTATATAATTTATTATTACAAGATATTTACATAAATTCGACGAATAGTCATTTAATGGACGCGATTACGCTTTTGTGTTTTCATTAAAAGATTCCAGCAATAGATGCCGAGAGCAATATATCTTTTTCCCTCCCTCCATTGTTCAAATGAAAGCTGATTTATCACCCGATATTGAATATGTCGATCTTCGTTATCTCTCGCCGGAGATTTTTCCAAACTCATCGAAAGGTAGAGCGTAACGTTCATCTAAAATTGTAATTTTGACCTCGTTTCAGTTTTTTCGTCCGACGGCGATTGGAACAGAGAGAGAGAGAGAGGGAGAAGCGCATTATCGGAAAGAAAAAAAATCAAAGAGAAACTCTAAAGAATCAGAGATCTGTATCTCCTCTAGATGGCGATTCCAATTGAAGAGCTATTTGAAAATCCCGATTCATACAAAAAAGAAAAAAAAAAGGAAACCCAGAAACGCCTCAAGAGCGAGATCCGAGTCGAAAATCCCAATCCTCTCTCGGTTCCTCTCGGAATGAAACAATCCGGCTAAAGGCAAAACTGCCAAACGAATCAATTTCCACAGATCGCTGGCGGAAGGCTCAGCTCTCGAAGCTTTCAGATTATTAATCTTTCACCGGCGGGACAATGAGGAAAATCGAGGCAAGCAAGCGAAAGGAGAATGATATTGACACGATTCGTTGCAGTTGCTCGTGCTGCGGCAATTGATGCAAGGGGACAAGAATCATCCGAACGCGCCGCTTGGGAATAATTTCCGACCGCCCCAGCCGCTTCATCATCGTCCCGTTCGAACAAACATCGACTTCAACATTCAGGTAACGCTATCCGCGCGTAGCTTTCTGTACCGCGATAGCGCGATAACCCTGGTATAATTGTCTGGAAACTTTTTGCTCTTCAGGGACCGAAGAACTGTCCGACGATGAATAGGGACATATACTACAAAGGTATGAAAAGCTGCTGTGCCGCCTGGCTTCTCTCCACGTGAAATGGGAAAAGTTCTCTTGGTATAATGCACGTTACAAAAGCGTGAACGATTGTTGTTGCGCCAGTTCGTCCGCCTCACGGCTAATTTTCCATCGGTTCTCTCTCTCTCTCTCTTTCTCTCTCAGTCGTTGGAAAAAATGGCCAACGAAGTTGGATGTTACTGATAACGGGTGTTGATGGGAATGGTAATGTTGATGGGAATAGTAGGTGCCGCGTGAAGTGTTGGCCGACAACTTACAGTAGGCCACGAGTAAAATGGCACGCGAGGTAATCGGTGTTCCAATCGTGCGATACAACAGCTGGTGATTCCCTCTTTCGAGAGGAAGCTTCATATTTTGGCCTCTTGTTGCGTGATCGGCGGACCTGTTGGTCCGTGGTTGTATAATTTGTAAGACGATGTATGTATGATTAGCAAAATTTCGGGAATCGTTCGACTTAATCGATGTTGAAAATTTTCTGCGACTGTATACGTCGACATAGATGCAAGAAAATTGTAGAAATGAATACGTGAGTCCTTCATATTGTGTCGAATGTTACGGTCAAAAGGTTACCATAAACTCTCTTAAATTCTAGCCAGTTACTAGTTGATCTGATAAAAAAAATACGCGGATTAATTGATCATTTATTATCAGTCCAATGAGTTTTGAGAAATATAATTCCAACTTGGTAAAAGATGAATCTCATCGTCGCTACCGATTTGAATGATTGAAAGGACAAAAAGATTTCATTACTTTCCTGGTTCTCAGGATTATTAAAATGTATCTCTTTAAACGTGAATGAAGGACGCTCGCTCGATTCTCTCACCAAACCATTCCTCTCGACAAATCAAATTCATCCCTGTTCGTATTACCAATGAACTTGATCCATGCTACGTGTAAATAACGAATCTGACAACGAAAACTAACCTAAACCTGATAAAGATTCTCATCGCTATTTTTATATTGCAGCCAACAGCTGGAAATAACCCCGTAGCGAGTTATGGGGACGGCTGGAGGTGAACTACGCTTTCCCTGGGATAAGCTGGAGCCACGCAGTTAACAGGATAAAAACCCACTGACATATCAATTAATGAGCGCGACCAGTGGTCATCGTGTCGATCGGATCGAGCAAAGGCCATCGTCGCGCGTGTCGTTGAGAGAAAGAGAGAAAGAGAGAGAGAGAGAGAGAGAGAGAAAGAGAGAGAGAATGTGCGGAAGCGAATGAGCGAGAGAGAGAGAGAGAGAGAGAGAGAGAGAGAGAGAGTAAAATAGAAAAGAGAGGCCAGAATGACGCGAACAAGAGAGTGAAAGAGAGAAAGATTTAAAAAAAAAAAAGAAAAAAAAAGAAAAATGCTTCGTTGTACTATTAGACGTGAATTGCCAAGTATGTTTCCAGTAACGAGAAGACAAAAAAAGAAAAAAAAAAATTGAGACACAAGAACACGCAGATTACACAGACAGGTACACAGAGAGACATATACAGAAGATATACCTATATATAGATTACAATTTAGCGAAGATAAGATTAAAAAAAAAAAAAAAAAAGTAAGATTAACACAAGATATATTATTATACGTATATCGATCAACTATCGAAAAAAAAGCTATGACTATCGTGGCCTGTATTGGGGTCGTTGATTACGATTGATGATCGTGACGATGACGATGATGATGATGATGATGATGATGATGATAGGCATGTGGCGATAGAAACGAAAGACACGAGAATTCTATATGTATAAAAAGAAGTGTGAAGAAAAGAAAACTGAAAAAAAAAGAAGATTCGCGCGTGAGGGAAATTCACGCGTATACTCCCACTCGTAACTACCACCTGCATATACATAAATACATACGACATACATGCATACATGCATACATACTATACATATACACACACATATCGAGCGAAAGTTTATACTATATTCTTGTAATAAAATGCTGAAAAACGTAGACGGTAATGCCGACATCGAAACCCTGTTTTCCATGTGCCCACGTGAGTAATCCCATCGATCTGTTCGACCATCCCTCTCGTTTCCACGATGTGCCTAACAACGTCACGCCACCGCGGCGCCGCTCGGAACCTCTACGTCGCTACTCAAGCGTAGGTCGGTAAATCAGAGACCTGCCGCGAATGAAGAACCAAACCAGAAACAGACGGCCAACTCCGCGAGTGAAAATTCGTAAGAGAATATCCCGAGTCCCACCACTGTTTCCCATTGGCTCTCAGCGAATGTTCCCAGCATACTGTGATTTCTAGGTTAGACTTAGAATTCGCGGCAAACCGTCGAACCAACCTACGTCCACCGCCAATCCTCGTCCATATTCCTCTCGGCGAAACACGACCGACGAAAGGCGCAATACTGATCGAACTGGTTCTCGGTGAACTACAGAGAGAGAGAGAGAGAAAGAGGGGGAGAGTTACTGAGGGAGGGGGCGGCAACGATCTCGAGCGAAAGAAGGGTCGAAAGGTTTCGTACGCCTGGAGGGGGCGTTAGCGCGAGGAGAATAGGTTTCATTGAACCAGAATTCGACGGTGCTGCCAGCGGATGGCTATGCGGCAAGGGAGCCGAAAAGGGACAGCTATGGGTAACGATAGAGCGAGAGGTCGGGTGAAACGACCGCCACCATGATGGGCGAGGATGGGAGAAGGGGAATCGCCGTTGTCGCGGAGGGGTTGAAAGGGCACAGGAAGGGGAAGCGAGAGGAACAGACACTGGGGATACGGAATACGGAGGCACCGTGGTCGCTGGCCTCTGCGGCAAATCTGCAGGTTTCGTGTGGCGTGTGCGTGCGTGGCCAGAGTAAATCGCGGGGATTTTCACCGGTTCCCGGAAGTGTGTGCGTCGGCCAGAGAGACAGAGAGACAGAGAGACAGAGAGAGAGAGAGAGAAAGAGACAGAGAAAGAGAGAACTCAATGCTCACCCGTGAGTTCTCTAGTGCGTAAAATCAAGAATCGTACGCGCGATGTGGAGTGGCTTTTCTCTCCCTGTATGTGACACTCTCTCCGTGTGTCCGTACGTGTAGTACGTTTACGTGTACGAGGTCGTACTCCTCTCTCGTGCCTCTCGTAGCGAGAACTTGGAGGCGGCTCGGGGGATGAAGATCTTCGATGGAGCGGCGCGGCATTCGCAGCATTCGCTCTGTACCAAGGGTAGCTGCGTCTTCGACGAGATTCGGGTCTAGCCGAGGGACAATCACGGTGGACCGATGAGGAGGTGGTGGCTCGTTCTTATCCGCGAAAGGTCTCGCGCGACCGGATTGATTGATCGGCCGAGAGGATAATAGAAAAGAGCTCGTCGATGCCAGTCGACGACCCCGCGGACCAGGTGGGGGGTGTCCTCTCGTGAGAACGGGCGAATACACGTTCACGCGCCGCAAGAACTACGCGTGGAGAGGAAGCTGACAAGTGCACCGTGCCGTCTGTCAGTTTGTTTCCACTATTTTCTGCGGGCTTCGTTCGCTCGTCCGATCAATCAATCAACCCGCGATGTGTCTGTGTTTGCGTGATCAGTGCTCTTGCACGCGTTCGTGTGACTGATTCCGTTTGGTGTTTCAATCTCCCTTCGTTTGGTGTTGTTAAATCTCCATCGAAATCGAAAAAGAAAAAGAAACGCTTTCACCAATTGGACAATCCCTGTCGAAGGAGGAAGCGTTACACAAAATACGTATAAACAAAAGGACGAGATTGGTGGAAGACGAAGGAGACTGGAAGAAAGGATCGAGAGAGAGAGAAAAGAGAGAAGGGGAAGATGAAATAGGGAGAGACGGACACAGTGGTGTACAGTCTCTCGGCGTTTAATTTTTCAACGAGGCAGCGAGCGGCGCCGCGATTGGTCAGGTCAGGCCGCGAGGAACGTACGGATTTTTCGTCGCGTCCGCAGATTCTCATGCAAGTACGTGGTATAAGCGAATTTGCCGCGGTCGATGCACTCGAAAGCTCGCTCGGGGGAGTCGAGTGACACGTACACGACACCGTGAGGACCGTGGCACAGTCGATTCGAGTAATCGAGCATCGAATCGAGCGTCGAACCACAGCAGCCTGGCCACCCCTTGCCTCCTAACGAACCTGTGTCAACTTAACCACAGTGTCTTGTTTGTACGAAACACACCTTCTAAGTATTTTCTCTTTCCCCTTCTACACCCCCCCCCCGCCTCCCTCCCCCCTGTTTCTTTGTTTTGCACGTTTCATGCGCGTTCTAGTGACTATCACGCATCTAGGTTCTAGGGAGCTAAGTGTTTTTCACGTGATACGGTTTAATTGATTCTAGTGCCGTTGTGAAATGATTGACGGTTACCGAGTTGATGGTCTGTCGGTTTGTCCCTCTTGAGTCAACGAATATTATTCTCTTACCGAAAATACCGCGATATCGAGAGTTTATTGGCCGGGTCCCAGGCGACTTTCTGACTAATTTATGATCGATATAAATTTCGCGGCGCATTACGCGGGCATACCATTAGCGTACGTCAGCAATTAATATGCCTTAGCGTGCGCAGCCGGAAGCGGTGCTCGGTGCCGGGGCATGCCTGTGGAATTCCTCTGCTTTTCGTAACCTTTCAAAATTCCCTTTTATCTCGCGAAATACCGTGCATATATATATAGAGAGAGAGAGCTGTAAATTTCTATCCAACCACGGAAAAAGAAACCGATAATGAAAATACTTCAATAAATATCGCGGATCGTAGTAGCGGATTGGAGCCTCGTTTCTTTTTTTCCCTGCTGCTCTTTCCTCTCTTTTTTTCTTTTTTTTTTTTCCTTTTCGGTAAGAGTGTAACAGAAGGTTGCAGGAGGTGGACGTTGTTTTTGTTGCAGATTAATCCTGGGGCCGGGGTGGTTGTAATTGGAAAAGTGGGCCAGCGTGCACGGTCGGCGGCGGCTTAATCAGAATGAAATCTAAGAAGTCCCGGGCAACAATGGCTTTGTGATGCCCGAAGGAGGACCGTCGGCGAAATGAAAGCCCCTGAGAAACAATGGAAGCGTCCACGCAGGCATGACGGCCCCATTCAGATTCGCAGACGGCATGCTTAGTGGCGGCCAAAGGAGACGCTCAAGTAAGAATAAGCCGAGCATCGTTAGACAGAGGGAGAAAAAGCGAGGGTGAAAGAGCGAGAACGAATGGGAGAGAGAGAAAGATACTGAACTATCCCTTGGACACGATCGAATGGCATGATATACACACTACACCACGCGTCTCGGTGTCTGCCTTTTCACTTGTATTTCTCCTTCGTTTGTGATTCTTCATAAACCGAGTCTTGCCTCTGTTCTCTATTATCGCGTTTCTTTTTCTTTCTTTTTTTTTTTTCTCTGTTAACATTTGCTACGAAAAAAGAAAACTCGCACACGTCCTTGTTTCCTCAATGAGCCGTTTTTCATCAGATTCTGTGTGGGGACGTCAGTTACCGTGTGAAAAATAGGCTAAACAGCCGTGAAATTTAATATACTTGAACGTGGTCAATTGGACTGACGCAGACACCGCGACAAATGCACGGACGTGCGAATATAATTTTTTGTAGGCGCCGTTCTTTTCACACGTGAACGGTACACGCTGGTGCGTAAAATATGCTTCGCACGGCGCGCAGTATATGCAGTAGGTGTAATCCCTTGGGAAAGAACAGAATTAGAACGTGATACATGGGTTAATACGTTACATAATAATTTATGGGTATCGAAGACGTAACAACTTAATCCCCGGTATTAAGCGATCGAATTCGGAGCCCAACTTGCAACAGTATTCCGCCGCGATCCAAAGACAGCGCCAGATGGACTGTTAAGGACGTCCACTTGCCCTGATATCGACAGCGCCCCGGCGACCATTACGCTTACGAAATATTATATGCTTGCCGGGTGACGAGTCCGCGTCTCGTACAGTTGTTTCTCGAGTGAGCCGTCTCTCGAGTTTCAAGAACAGAGTTTCACCTCGGAACTTCACGGAAGGGGCGGAAGTTTGGACGTTTGTCGGTTCCGTTCCGCGCAACACGGTGTGGTCTTTCCATTTGAAAGCGTTCGAATTCTTTTTACGAGCAACATGTGCAGGTAATAAAAGATAAAAGTCCCGGGGATTCGGCGGATGATTCATTGATACCGTGATCCAGCGAGAGCTTGCTCCCCCCTTCTCCCCCCCCCCTTAATTTCACTCGCTTTTACGCCCAACAACTTGGCTCGCGCCCGCGGACGGGCGGCGTTTAAAACACTCCGTTGAACACTTATACACCGCGGGAGTTTCCGTTTCAATTGTGTTTCCGCAGCGTATTCATAATAATATATATATATATATATATATATATATATATATATATATACAGGCTGTTTCGTAACTTGTGGCACCCATTTCGGGAGCTGATTGTACGCCTAAACATAATGAAAAAAAGTCATATAATTAATTATATGTCCTATCTGTCTTCGTTTATGAGATACAATGAATTTTATAAACAGAGCAAACTCTAGTAAGCTAGTTTTACCAGGGACGACATGTTCAATTTTCATAATAATCATAATTGGGATGCAGAAAATCCACACGTTATTGCGCATTCAAGATATCAACGCCAGTTTAGTTTAAACGTATGGGCAGGAATGATTGATAAATTTTTAATTGGACCTTTTTTTCTTGATGGGAAACNGACAGAGAGAGTAACCAGATGAATGACAAGACGCGTGCAGGCTTGTCTTCAAATGCAAGCTGGTCATTTCGAGCATCTTTTATAAAAGTAATTAAAATAGAAAATTCATTATATCTCATAAACAAAGACAGATAGGTTATATATATTTATATGACTTTTTTTCGAAGTGTGTCCCACAAGTTACGAAACACCCTGTATATATATATATATATATTAATTAACCGGCTGTGTTGCCGATGCAAACGTGATTGAGATATTTATTAAACGCGTTCCTGTTCGAGTAAAACTCGAAAATCAAGCTCCCGTTGTACCTTGACACTTTCGTTTTTTTTTTTTTTTTTTCTTTGGAGAATTTCAATTTTTAACGACGCACGACGTGCTCTTTGCGTATGCGTGTGTTTCGTGTAATTTTCGTTTTCAAAACGACGTGTAAGTCGTCATTTAATTAGGATCCGCCGAGGGATTTAAAAGGGAAAATTCCCGGTGTAACGTGGTTTGAAGTTTTATTATATCAATTCGATGAATTAGGTTAACGCATCAATTCCCTGCTGCCCCCCTTTTCCCTCTCCCCCCACCCCCTCCTCTGCCGCCGTTTATCGGCGCGGATAATGAAATTTTCGTCTGATAAAATGTATGCGATGGGGAGCAGGGATTTTTCTGCCGTGAAAAAAATTTATAATATGTGGATAACGGAACATTTCGCTAAGTGAATTTCGAATCAGTTTTCCGTCTTTTAGCTAACGTTTCTCTCCTTTTTTTTTTTTCTTTTAATTACAAAAAAATCTCGGTGGCTGAATGGTCAGGTTATTTATTAATAATTCTCTCCGTCGAACTTTCTTCCCTCGAGCGAGAAATTTTCCGAGATGTCGATCGACAGGTGCATAATTTTTCATGAAAAAAATATGAGAGAGAAAGTCGATAAAAAGCACGAAGCTTTTTTACAAACTCGCTTATATAAACTATAAAACGATGAAACTTGGTGGAGGTGCATAGCCAAGTTTCTTACGAAATTAATAACGGCAGGGGAGTGGCCTTGAAATATCTACGACTTCGATCGACACTGTACCGTGGAGAGGAGATACCTGTTTCCAGATCGATTGCAATCAACGCCACGTTGACAGACGAACGACAATAGCGCGTTTTAATTGATCGCATTTCGGTGACTGGGCATTAAGGGCAGGCTAGAGTCTGACAAATGCGAGTGTTGTTCGAGCAATAGCGCACAATAACGCGTTAAGTAGCGACCGTTTCACTCTAAACGAGCGTACAGCCTCGCGTAGAGCGTGTTAATCCGGAAATTATCACGTCTAATTTTACATACGGCCTGTTGCCACTAACGACTCACTTCGCGATGCACAAGAATAGCGTTAACAGCCGCGAACAATGTCACTTGAGACCGAAAAAAAATATTCGGAGGCTTGGTTCCAGTTTGTAACTTTCTCTTTTTTTTTCTTTTTAAAGAAAGATCTTCCTATAAAGTGTATTGAAATGTATCGACGCAATCTAAAATATTTTTCCTTCTGTTCATAAGCTAGAGTCTATTGTCAAAAGTATAACACGGAGTTAATTAAAAAAAAAGAAAAATTTTGAGAAAGGACAAATTTCAGCTCGAAACATTTTTCGACAGAGAATCGCCTGTTGTGTGTACATCTCCTTCCATTTCACCGCGATAGAACGTATTAAAACGGCTGCTTTGTAGCCTTGGCGTTTCAAAAATTCTTCCTCCATACAGGCACATCCAACGGCCTCGCGTTTCACCTGCAGCTTCATAAAGTCGTTCGTTCCCTCGAAAACGAAACTTCACAATTTCCATCTTATTTGCCTGGACGAGCGAGAATTTTCGCCCCATACCACCCTGTGTCTGAAACATTCCGCAAGCGATTCGAAGCGTATACAACGCGTGTCGCGTTCGATCGTTCCGCTATATCACGCGACGAGTCTTTCTTCCTTTCTAATCGGCAGCTCTCCTTTCCTTTTTCTTCTTCTTCTTCTTCTTCTCTGGGTCTCACCTTGGTTATTTTCCTTTCAACGTCACGTTTCCAATTCTTTTTCTCTTTTTCTTTCCTCTCCCACCCCCGAAAGAAAAGAGAAGAAACGAATCGAGTTGGTTAATTGGCCTTCTTGTTTTCGTACAGGGCGGAGAGAATGAATAGAAATATCAGAGCACTGCCCCCTCTCATTCCCCCCTTTTCCTTTTCCTGACAAAATTCCGTTCGGTCCGTTTCGAGTCAACAGGTTCGACGTTGTTTTTTCAAGTGTTCACCGGGGGCAGAATGTTTCGGGGACGGAGGAAATAACGCTGAGGTATTTGTTGAGAAGGGGAGGACGAGGAAGATTCGTGCCTTGTGTTTTCGCGTATATCCTATTTCAGCTTGTGCTGTTTTTTCGGCGGTAGGCCAGCTTGTTTGCGCCCCGCGAATTAAAGGAGAAGTTTACGGTACCACCGTTTTATTGTTGATTTGCTCGAGGTTGATTGTCGATCGTACGCGAGGTTGGTTCTCGTTTGTCTGAACTGAAACCCCTGGATGACCGGTCAATCTCTATGGCTTTCGTTTCCCGTTTCGTTCGACGTAAAAGTGAAAGATCGCGATACGCCCGTTTGTTGTTTGTTAATTAACTAACGTCACAACGCCGTGTTTGTCTTGCACTTGTAATTATACAGAGTTCGTAATCAAGCGACGAACATTCGACGAACGAACAGTCCGCTAATTGCAAGCGCGTTTGACGTAAAATTGTGGAGACCGTTTCCTACCACTCGTCAACTTGTTAATATCAAGAAGAAATTTTTGTTTGCCGTATCCTTCGTGTAAAACTTTACATAATTTTGCAGAAGATAGGGAAATTCTTCAGTTTCAAATTACATCGAATCAAACCTGTGGGAAAATGGAATTTTTGGTACTAGAACTTAAATCGACGATTAAAGAATAAGATTTCCATCAGAGACATTGGAGTCTAGAAAATAGAGAAACTTTACGATACAATGGAGCTAGAATACACGCTGTTAAAAATCTTTAAAAATACACTATCTGACATCTATCCAAACAACAAAATAAACATAAATATAAATTGGACATTTTGGCCATTTTCGTGGCTCCAGTGTTAAAGGTGAAGACGAGACTTGCACACGATAGAAAAGTACCATTTATAATTTTCTTGTTGTTGGAAACGATGTGACGAGGGTTCCCCGGTGACCCTTATCCTACGTTTCCGACCATCAACTGCCTTCTTAATATTCCGTTGCTCCCCTAGACCTTCGACTCCCCATGTATCCACTTCTTCGACGAACGTGTAATATATTCGACGGATACGATCCCATTTCCGAAATATATCCATCGTGTATGTATCGATTATACGACGACCTTTGGGAAAATGACGCGAGCGTACGGAGCGAGACGATAAATTCGAAACAAGGAACACTTGAATTCAACGGGTAGAGGGCGAGTCGTTGAAAACGCCGGAGGATGCAACGACGAAACGAATTATCAGCACGCAGAAATCGGTCGCCAGTGGAGAAGTTTCGAGAACGTGCATTGCTACCGGCTAACAATTAAAATGGGTTATACGACGACCTTTGCGCGGCGAAGAAAAGTTCGAACTAGCGAAAGATAACAAAATCTGCCGGGCTGCGACGCCACCGTTTTCGGTTCCATCGCGTTCCATTGCCCTACTAATACCGTAACCTTTACGGCGTCGCGGCGTTTTCGGTTGGCGTCATGGTATCGGGTCAAACGTATCAGAGCGGCGATGTGATCGATAGAATCCGCGTGGTGATTGATAGAATCCGAAAATGCTCGATATCGACAGCCGAAGTGTGATAATTCATCGAGGTGGTAATTGTAAGAAATGTCAGAAATATTCGTTTCGCGGTTGCACGGAACGTCGGGACGTGCTCGAATCAAGAACAATATGGGGATCGATATAATCCGAAAATTCTGTCAATCAGTCGTTTCGACGAATCAGTTCGGATTAAATCGATCGATGAAAATTAGAGTGTACCTACGTATCTACGTACGTACGTACGGATGAAGTGAATTGAACGAAGGTCAAGGCGACTTTCAACCACTTGCGCTGGCAACTGGTTCGCGGACCATAACGAGTGACCGAACACCGTATACAGTAACCGGTTGCTTCCTTTTTCTTTTGGTCGGTATGATATT